GTGTTTGCTCACGTTGACTTTGTTAAAAACCTGATAGTATGTATGGATCACTTGGGTTGTTACCAACATCTGGTGAAAATTTCATGTCATTAGCACCTCTAGTAATATATTTACTGAGAAAAATGGTGACGTGTTCAATACTTATTTTACCCGCTGTATACAGTATGTCCCTCAGCGGAAAATGTTTTTTTTTTAACTTTTTTATTTTTTACATCAACAGCAAAAATAGAGTAAACATCAGGACAGACTATTAAAAACAGGGAGTGCATAGTTATGTAGAATAGAGCCAATAAGGCTGCAAAGAGTGCAGATGTGAAGATGTGAATGGTGTAAATCATGTTACATAAGAATCATGATTCCATCAGGATTCATACTTCAAGTCTGTTGTTGTTTAGTTGAATCCAAGCATAGCGGGCAGCTATTATAGGAAAATGTTTTTTTACACTGAAATTACACGAAAATCTTTTTGAAACGGTTTGTTGTTAATCCAACTGAAAGACATGTTTCAATCAGACCTCTCTGATTATCACATTTTGAAAATAATATTTGTTACATCAAAAAGGTTATTACTTTTTTATATTATAAGTTTATATTTTCATTATATTAAAAAATATAGTTATTAGAAAAATAAGCAAAGTCGTTTATTAGCTCATTAATGCTTTACACTGCTTATTCAGATAAGAAAGCTTTGCCTCTTGTTGGTAGGAGTGGAATTTGAGGTTCTAAAATCATTTTTGTTTTCTCTTTCAGCTGAGTTGAACACAATTGCGCCCATCATCTCCAACTTTTTCCTGGCATCCTATGCCTTAATCAATTTCTCAGTGTTCCATGCATCACTGGCTAACTCTCCAGGTAAGCTCAAGATGAAAAAAATGGGAGAGAGAAAGGAAGCAGTAAAAGATCCTAAATTTGACCAAAAGACAGAAGTAGAAGTTGTTGGAAAGTTTTGAGTCAGTCCTGGTCCTGGTTAAAACAAACAGCCTCTCAGCCAGTGTCACAAGTTATGGTGTTTAACTCTGATTGTGATAAATGTTGAAAGGAATATCAATGAAAACATTTTTAAATCATGAGATGGTGTGTTTCTTGTATTGCCTGAATATTTTTTAAATTTTCTTTCTCTTCCTTTTGTTTTAGGCTTCAGTCATGAAGCAATGAGCATTTTAAGTTTGAGTGCTGCTGTAATTTTGTTTGGTGTTATTAACCTTTCCAAACCAAATGTAATTTGGAAATGTGATAATCCTGTTCACAACAAGAATGTTAAGATGACCCGACTCTCCAGCATCACATTTCTGTTACTGATAAATTACATTGTACAGAATCAATCTTGCTGCTACGTAGATCCTAATATTACACAGTATAGTAGGAACATTCTTTTAGAAATTTATTGATTGGTTCAAAGCAACAGTTATCCACCTGTGGACATGTTTGGATTGATTTATCAAATTTCACTGTATTAAAAAAACAGTTGCTGTTTTTATATTTAGGATAAAGCTCAGTGGACGACTCGAGGAGTACTGCTTGAGATTACATGTTTTGTTATAAAATAACAACATCGAGTTGTTCCTCAAGAACTAGACTAATTTTTTGAAAGGAGCACTTGCTTTGAAGAAACTTTACTTTTTATACTGATGAACAGACAAATAATATTCATAGATGTTCTTTTTATATTGAGTTTTTTGCTTTTTCCCTCTTTCTTCAATACCAAATCTTAAGCAGACCTGCAGGTACAGATTTTTTGTATGCTTCTAATCTTTCAGGCAGGTCCATGGAACCTAAATGGTACATGACTCATTTACTGTAATGAAGTAACAGATTTTACTGCTTCTGGAAGCACAAACTGTAAACTCAATTTGGTGTTCTCGTTTCTTCATGGCCAATTTGGGCATTCTCTTTGGGAAATGTAAACCTCCTGCATGAGAACAGGAGAAACCATACAGTCAGTGTACCGTTTACGTCCTGTGGTTTGTTTTAGACTCCGTCAATGTGTAACCACACACAGCACTTAGATACATCACTAAAATCCCACTAGTCTAGTCTTTGTGGTACTTTTAAAATAAATAAATATGATCATGATCGCTGTGAAGTCTAACAGGCTAACTTCCATTGTTCAACCTAAGCCTATGCTTTACTCCAACTTTAACACTGTCCATGCTGTTTAACCGCTACATTTACTGTTTTATAGATCATGTTAGTGGTGAAAATGTTCAGCTATGTCCTTTAATGGACAAGAACCACCTCTCTTTCATTCTGATCTAATAAAACTTAATATGAACTTTAAGAGAGTTTTTCCCCAGTTTAAACACCATGCTACCCCTAATGTACTTTGCCATTGTTGTTATCCTGTGACTTAATTTCTGTTTGTGCTGCAGGCTGGCGACCCAGTTTTAAATACTACAACATGTGGGTTTCCCTGGCTGGTGCCATACTGTGCTGTGTGGTGATGTTTGTCATCAACTGGGCGGCTGCTCTCCTCACTAATGTCATTGTTATGGCTCTCTATATCTATGTGAGTCACAAGAAGCCAGGTGAGGTTCCAAGCACACAAGACACTTTCAGATAAGTGTTTAGCATGTCGACACCTTCCTAAAATAATCGCCTTACCCCTAATTTACACTAGATGTGGTTCCACTCCACTCATGTCCGACCTCTGCAGTAAATACACAACCATTATATCAATGAGAGTATTTACACTGGCTCCACAGAGCAAAATTAGAGTCGATCTTATTTTTGCCTGTTGCCGGAGCTGCTGCGGAGTCAATCTACAAAGATTACGTCACAACAACAGGAAAAGGAACGAGCACAACATTTGTATTTTCAAAATAATTCACCAAAAGCAGACTAATTTTGGATGAAATCCCATCCATATTAATAAATAGATGCATATATTTCTACACAAATGCTGTCAAAATCTATCATTCTGTTTGGGAAGAAGATGGTAACATGTAGCGTGCAGCATAAGCAGACACACGAGATTCATGTGGATTTTATTTTGAAATCAGGCGTTTCAAAAAGACGACAGCGATGTAGTTTCAGCTGTGTTTTGAGTTCGTCTTCCACAGAATTATGTATTTTGCTCTGACTTCCACAATTGTGACTGGATTTGTCGTGCGATCTCACATTTCCAGCATGCTCTTCTCGAACGTCCTCTGTTTTTCACACCAGAGCAGAGCGGACGCTTTTGCGGTACAAACGAATGGCTGCGAACTGCACAGTGGAGCGGTACGGCATCTAGTGTAAATTGGGGATTAGTCATATTTTTCAAGTTTTTTTTTTTCAGGCAACAAAAAAATCTAAACCAAAAATGTACCAAACTAGACAAACTTGAAAGATGTTATTTGGGCGGTTATTTTAGAAGGTGCTGATGGTTTTACTAAACAGTTAAGACAAAATCTACTTTCATGACAACTTTCTGACCTTCTATTTTTGCCAAATCTAATTATTTTTGACAGTGATAAGCTCTAATCTGTGCTTATTATTGAAGGTTATACATTACTCCTTTTCCCTGTTTTTCTTTTCCCCTATTTTTTTATATACTGTATATCAGTAGTGAATTAGCCTTGCCCTTGCCTTCCTACGCAGCTCTGCTCAATTCTAGTTTCCCTTCACTGCTCCGTCTGGGACTTCTCCCATTGAGATGGATTTCGCTGGCAGATTTTTAGCCGGGCCAATCAGAGAACAGAACGTCAATTTTCTGCGCAGTGTCTGCTTGTAGTTTATTTTACCTGGGCCAATCAGAGAACAGAAGGAGGAGCTTTGAATGACGTCGATGTTCTGCGCAGTGTCTGCTAGTTAGTTTATCATACGGCAGTGGAGGAAGTGAATGAAGCCAGTCTGTGTTGATAAGGCTTCCAAATTAAAATAAATTTGTCTGACAAAGCAGCAGCTCTCATTTACAGTCGTCTCGTTCGGCTCGGTACTTTTGTCCTCTCAGTAGAGTTGTTTACAGCACACGAGATTTCCGGTTAGCTTCTTAGCTTAGCCTCCATCACAGCGACAACACACACATGGTTCAGCAGAGGCCACACCTCCTGTAAGAAACGATTCTCTATGCATCAAGTCCAGACCCTAGTACGAAGCAAAGTGAAGGACGGTCTGGTTTTAACCAGGCTAGTAGTGAATCAAAATAAAATAGATTATTTTATATTTTATGTTTATGGTTTTTTCTGATAGTTGGGAAATATTGAGAAAAAAACTGCTGAATAAGTGACACTACGCAGCATTGGTCATGTTTTTCTGTTTACTGTGTGTTGATGTACGGGCAGACATGCAGCACAGGTATATATGTTACTACTTTGAAAATTATTGAAGAGTTCCTTGATGAAAGTATAGGATTGCCTTAAAGGTAATATCTGTAGAAGAATAAGAAAATTGGTGAGGAAGCATGAAGGAACAGTTTTTTCAATAAATTTATTGAGTTCAGGGCAAATTGTAATCTCAGGTTACGGGTAAGGGTGCAACCCAATAACTATTGATCGTGGGGAGAAAAAGTAATCAGGCAGTTAGACATGTAAGATATAGAGTTGAGTGGAACAAATATTTCTTTCATCATGCTTAAATATATAAAAAATAGTTCATAATTATCTGAACACTTGCTGTTAATTTAAATAAATGTTCAGGACTAAGTGTAGCATCCCCGGTTGAATGATGGTCTACTCCCGAACTGATGGTTCACTTTGCCTTTTATTATAACGTTGAACAGGCTTGAAACCTTGGTGAACACACCGTAAGAGCTACAGAAACAAACAATTCAAATTAGTAACAACTTACAGCATGTAATATTAGCCTTAAAACATTCACTTCCTTAATATTTACCAATGAACTGATTTATCTTTACTCGTTTTATCATTGCAAAGTACAAGACCTCAAATGGAGCACTATATTTACTGTAAATTAATCTTAACACACACACACTCATGTGAAATGGAACTTAAATGACAAATTACAACCTTCTTGTTATGCATGACATTCAATAAAGCATAATAATTTTCTACATAAGCACTTTAGAAACCTATAAAATTATCTCTCATTCTTATTAGCTTAGCATGTTAGCGCTCTCTAGTGGTGTCAAATAAAACAATATTGCTTAAAGTACTACAGAATAAAAGTTAGCAACCAACAATAATCACAAACCTTGTTCCCTTATCAACCAGGTGCTAAAGAACCTGTAAATTATTCAATAGATGACATTTTCTCTCTTCTTCAGTTCAGTCACAGGGAAGACACGTTTTCTGCTCATGTTAAACTTATTACAGCATTTTACCACAGTTAGTTCTACTTTATGGCACCTGCACGTCGCTCTGTAAAACGTCCTTCAAAATAAAAGCATCGACCTCAATAGTAAATTAAGTAAACAAATAAAGAACAAATTTCACAATAAAACATTTGCAGGTCTGTTACACTAAGCACAGACGATTGGGTAACACTTTCTTTTACGGTACTCTTATTACCATGCAATTACAAGGTAATAAAAATGTAATTAAATGTAATTACTACCTTAATTACCATGTAATTACGTGGTAATTAGGGTACAATTTTACTATGTAATTGTCTGCAGTAATGTAGCACTTACCTGGTATTGTATTACATAAAAAGGTAATTAAATGTAATTACTACCTTATTACCATGTAATGACATGGTAATTAGGGTACACTTTTACTATGTAAATAATTGTCTGCAGTAATGTAGCACTTACCTGGTAATGTATTAGAATTCACAATGTAACACCTAAATAAGTAGTAGGTAATTTGGACAGTTTTAAAGTTTTATTGCAATTAACCACTAACCCCAAAATTTAGTTGCATTATTTTGGTTATAAATAGTGTTGAGTTACTATTGAATAGTAATTTGGTTGTAGTTACCCCATAAAGGTAGTTTTACTAACAGTAGTTTTTCTTTTGTAACCTAATTACCACGTAATTACATGGTAATAAGGTAGTAATTACATTTAATTACATTTTTATTTCCTTGTAATTACATGGTAATAAGGTAGTAATTACATTTAATTACATTTTTATTACCTTGTAATTACATGGTAATAAGGGAACCGTAAAAGAGAGCGTTACTGAAGATTTTGAACTCCCAGACCAATTTCTTCTAATAAGTAATATTAGCTTTTAGAGCTTAGACGAATGAAAATATGCACAATAAAGTAAACTCGACAGGAAAAGAAAAATAGAGAGCTAAAATATAAAAATAAAGGCCTAGATTTTCTCAAAGAACTGCTTATTTCCCGCTGCCTTTTCTCCCAGTGTTCTGTGCTCTGAACACACACACATGTTTACACAGGTTGAAACGCAGCTACACACACACAGGAGACCTTTTCTCTGACTCTGTCTCTGCGTGGGTCATATGGCCTTTAGTTCAGCAGACTGATCTGTAAACACACTCGCTAAATCCAGTGTGTTTTTTCTGCCTGCATGTGTCCTGGTCTTCCAGATGTAAATTGGGGCTCGTCGACCCAAGCTCTGACCTACCAGCAAGCCCTGACCCACACTCTGCACCTCAGCGGAGTAGAAGACCACATCAAGAACTTCAGGTACCAAATACGGTCGTGTCACTGTCGAATCTAAAGGAGTATTTTAAATTTAAAGAGAACCTGTCGCTGCTATGAGTGGAGTTGCTGTTACACCATTCTGTACAATTTTTACAATCCCACTGATGTTCTGACCCTAACAGTGTGTTTCATGTGTCATTTTTACAATGACTTCACATGATATTATATTGTGACTTCAATCTCTGAAAGCTTGCATGTGCGAACTGTGGTCCAGTGTTGTTTTTAGGGAATAATTGGTAACCCTGTGCCTGTGGACTGTTCCCATGGCAGCAAACCAAGCAGGGATTAAAAGGCATCAGTTGGTGCTTTCAGAGTCACATGTGTGTGTCCCTGAGCTCTTTCTTGTCTCCTCCCATCACTTCCATGAAATCCTTTTGCTTAAAATATTTGCTTTGATGTTCGCTACGCTACATGTAATATATGTGTGTGTGTGTGTGTGTGTGTGTGTGTGTGTGTGTGTGTGTGTGTGTGTGTGTGTGTGTGTGTTTGAGAACAGAGAAAAATGTCTACATTTAACCATCACTATTTCTTTACCTGCCATGACAGCAGATGTAGTACTATTAATACTTGGATAAATTTGATACTTATGTGTTAATGGTTTCTCTCTCATTTTTTATTGATTAGACCCCAGTGTTTGGTGATGACTGGCTACCCTAACTCACGTCCTGCGCTTGTGGATCTGGTTCACGCTTTCACCAAGAACGTAGGACTGATGATCTGTGGTCATGTTCGAACGGTGAGCAGCTTTTTGTTGTGCTAAATTTCAAAACAAACTCGACTATACATTAGAAGTAGGGCTGCCACGATTAATCGATTAATCGACGACTAATCGATTATTAAAATAATCGTTTGTGGCAGCC